TTCGTGAGAAGGGGAGAAACTGACGTGTTGTAAATCCAACAGATCCGATTCTTCTCTGAACTGTGGCACAAACTAACATGACGTCGCCCATCGCGCATACAGCTCAACTAACGCAATCGTTATGAAGGCGTTTAAACAACACAACGCGTCCACTTACACATATTTGACAATCGGAATATCAGTGTTTCATGCTATAGCTAATACATTTGTGAATATTTTTGATAAAAAGGAAAAATGACATAAAAGCAGATCCTCATTCATTCAGCGCTGTGTTGTGGTTGCGCTGTGTCCCGTGACAAGCAATGACGCGTCACCATGGAAACATTAAAGTGACAAATTCTAAATAACGGTCGCATTGGTGTGAAAGGGTTAAAAGTGGAAGCTTGTGCGTAGCTTTGTTGCATTATATTGAAACTTTGTTTATGTTGTTATTGTCATGTGTGTTCTGGTTATTTGAGCATGATAAAACATGAGTCTTTATATGACAATAAAACAAAGCTTTGTTGCGTTTAAAAAAAAAAAAAAAATTAAGTGGGGATTGGGGGTGCGCCAACCCGGTTGGGACATAGAAGGGGGTGCGCAAGGAAAAAAGTTTGGGAACCGCTGGTCTAAAGAAAATACCATAAAAATATCATAACAGTAGTGCATGTGACGTGATGCTTCAGGTGAATGAACGACAACATGAATAAAACAAAAATGTGTTTTTATTCAAAAATTCTCAAAGAAATGAACAGAAATAAAGCTTAATTAACAATCTACTGAAAACAAAGGGGAGAAAAAGAGCTTTTTTTGGCTTCAACAAACACTCCAGAAAACAAAAGAAAATATACAGAGGAAGGTTTCTGATAAACCGAACGTACAAGAGACCACTGGCAAGCGTGTGGCACGTACAACAGAAAGAAATTACAAAATCAACTCTCATATAGATATCTCTATGAAAATCTTTTTATTGTTTTTATTTTTTCAAACAGTCTGTACAAAACTTCTCTCTTCATAAATTATTACTTTTTTTTTTCCATATAACTTAATGGCTGTCTAGTACATGATTTTTCATATTCATGAGCAATTTCTCTCTGCACAACAACTCTTTTCAACTCTTTGACCCAGACACAGATTGGCACTTCGGATTCAGATGTTACTAGCAGCATGAGCCACACAAGAACTCTACAGAAACACACTCGCTGCCACACACACACACACACACACACACACACGCACGCACGTCAAGAATGGACTCGGCTGTGAGCTGAGCACCACGGATACGCCGTTAAAACTCTGTCTGGACTCGGTCTGAAAGCAACAGTATGGAAGCCCATTTCTGACACATAAGACAAAAAAATCATGCTTTGGTAAATCATAATTATTACACAAGTCATAATTATGAGATAAAAAGTCAAACTTGTGATACTGAGTGAGATTAAAAAAATATTTTGATGTAAAATGTTGAAATAATTCTGATGAAAAGTCAAAAACTTTCTCAATTTTAACTTTTTATCTCATAATTTCAACTTTTTAAGTCATAATTTTGACTTGAGTATTAATTTATCTTTTCATCTCAAAATTGACAGTCATAATTATGACTATTACAAATCATAAATGACTTTTTAAATCATAATTTAACTTTTTATGCCATTTACCAGAACATGATTTTTTTGTTCCATTTCATTTAGTAACGATTTAGTCCTTGTTACATGTAGTAATAACTATAAATTGTGCATAACTATGCAACTAACCTTAAAACAAACTTTAACCGTAACTCTGTAGTAACTACCCTGTAACACGGACACCTTAAAATAAAGTGTAAACCTTTATTTTAAGATGTCGTTGTTACGTTGTACTTCCACAAATAAGTACTGAGTAATAATAATTAACTACATGTACTTACGTACTACAGAGTTACGGTTAAGGTTAGTTCCTTATTATGCATTATTATGCTTATTATTATACCAATTATGCATAATTTACTGTTATTACTATAGTTTGTACATGTAGTAACGTGTAACTAGGTCACCTTCAAATAAAATGTTATCTTTTTTGTGTTATGTGCGGTAAATGGGCTTCATACAACAGTGATGTCTCTCTCTCTCTCTCTCTCTCTCTCTCTCTCTCTCTCTCTCTCTCTCTCTCTCTCTCTCGCGCACGCTTTCTTGTCTACTTCCTATGGACTACTGGAATATCTTGTGATGAAAAGCAGCATTGTTTTTTGCTTTCAAAACGATGAATCTGAATGCTAAACGACACTAAAACAAACGCACAACTTTCCTTATAATGATAACAATAATAATAAAAAATAAAAAAACTTTTTGTTTGAAGAAGAAGAAGAAGAAGAAGAAAAGGACCAAAGTATCTGAAAAGAAAAAACCTGAAAGAAATCAAGTGTACATGGACAGCTCCTGAGCGGCCCGTTTGGTCTGGAGGGGCGGGCTGAACCTGCTAGCCCGACCAATTAAAACAGAGGACAACAAAACTCTGAGGTAGATAACCGGTCAACAAGACCCACCAGGTCAAAAACACAGTCTTTTGGAAGACAAATTAATGAATAAAGCCTTACTAAAGTATATTGTGAGTTTAGAAGAAAATAAAAACGTTTTTCTTGTAATGGATGCGATTATTTTTTCAAAGGTCGTGTCCTAAAACCCAGTGAGCTGCTTTCGTATTTCCCGAATACGTCACGTTTTTTATCATCTGAAACATGCTGCCACTTATACTAGAATGCAAATAAAGTTACGCTTGTCTTTTCTTCCCTATTGTGACGTACAGGTGAAACTCGAAAAATGAGAATATCGTGCAAAAGTTCATTTATTTCAGTAATTCAACTTAAAAGGTGAAACTAATATATTATATAGACTCATTACAAGCAAAGTGAGATATTTCAAGCCTTTATTTGTTATAATTTTGATGATTATGGCTTACAGCTTATGAAAAAACCCAAATTCAATATTAGAATATTGTGAAAAGGTTTGCTATAATCCATAATCATCAAAATTATAACAAATAAAGGCTTGAAATATCTCACTTTGCATGAAATGAGTCTATATAATATATTAGTTTCACCTTTTAAGTTGAATTACTGAAATAAATGAACTTTTGCACCATATTCTAATTTTTCGAGTTTCACCTGTATATCCAAGTGAACAGGAACAAATGTAGGGCGGGGCTTGATTTTGTCCATGGGGAGTTAATTGGATGGTTGTGGTTTGCTATTGGCTGATCTCATGTGAGTGACAGGTTGCCCCGCCCTCGTCATCAGAGAAGAGATGCTGGAAGTTATTTTGATTCAAGAAAAAAAAAGATGTGCACGGATAATCCATTTAAAACAAATACGGCGATATTCCATAAAAAAAAATAGATTTCATGAAGACTTTTTAAAGTCAAGTTCGCAAAACATTTGGATTCTAGGGTAGTTTCAGTTTCGCTTTAGGGTTTGGTGTTTTATTTTTTAATTCTAAACGTTGTTTATAATGAATGCACACTATAATTTATGTTTGTGTTTTTAATTCCTGTTCTGCTCTGAATACCGTTACATTTAAAGGATTGGTTGTGGAGTGACGGGAAATAAAACACATGTTTATTGTGCTTATAATATTTGTAAATGTTTCCGTTTATTTACCGGAATTATTTTCCAGGAAAATACGGCAGTAAGTGCATTAAGACACCTACAAATCCTAAGGCAGCATCATATAAATCCTTCATTGAGAAGACAATCCCATAATGCATTTCGAGTAAAAAAAAAAAAAAAAAGCATGGCTAAAAATAGTTAATAGCACGACTAATTTTGTACCTTTACTGCAACATGCCAATGCAAAACTCTCCTGAAGTCTATTTGTATGACGCATGTATTACTTTTACAAATAATGATGAGTTATGATGCTCCCTTAGAAGGCAGCTGTCTATGCAGGCAGCTCACTAGGGTTTTAAAACAGTGCCGTCGTTTCAACTTGTCCTCGTTTCAGTTTCAGTTGTCTCTGCTCTGTAGTGATGTTTTCGTTTAGTTTGTGGCACTTGCTGGATCCAAATCGTCCTTCACGCCATCGGTGTCCGCACCTCGAAGACTAAAGACAGCTGAATGCATATGTACAAAGAAGGCACATTCTCCAGAACTGCAATCTAGTCTGTTAAAAAGTCTCAGCGTGGCCCGTCTCGAGAGAAAACGTCGAAAGTGCCGAGATTCGTCTGCCTGCTGTAATCGAGCGCACGTTCACCTCTCCCGAAGAAGCCCGCCGAACCGCTGTTGTTTCCTAAAGAGGTTTTCGGTCTGACTGACAGGCCACGCCTCCCTCCCGCCCCCAAAATTAGAATACGAGTCAAAGCTCCTCCCCCTCCCACACGAGTTCATCTAAAGCTAAACTACAACACCGAGATTTATAAACGAAAGTAAAAGGCAATTATCAAAAATGTGATCGTTCAGCAGAATTTCTACCACATTCAAACAACCAAAGGATCACCACCTCTGATTATAAAAACATTAAATCCTATGAAAACTCCATCAATGTTGTCACTCGAAACGGTTTGTACTCTAAAAGATCCGGAAAAGCAAAACACCGAAATCCAAGCGCAGCGAAATTTTCCTTTTTTGCGAGATGCTAAAAAAGCCCTATTCAGCTGATTTACAAGGCGGTAGCCGCACGCCTCTTCTTCGGCCACTGTACGGGAAAGAGTTTAAGGCAAATCGTATAAGACGAACAGATCGGTCAGACCGAAGATGAAGCACACAACAGAAAAACACATCAACGACACTCACACCGCAAGCACAAACGCATCTTTCTCAGGATGTCCGGCTGACAAATCTCTAAGAACAAACATCTGTTTCAGTACAAAAGAAGAGAGAGAGAGAGAGAGAGAGAGAGAAAAAACAAATCTGAAATCATAAAAACAAGAATAATATCCATGCACATTGAATCGCATGATGAAGTTCCTGCATCTATGTGACAATCCTTGGTAAAAAATAATCAGTTTCCTTATTAAAATAAAACTTTTCTTTTTCTTTTCTTTCCATTTCATTTGTTTTTCTTTGTTAGCATCCTCGGATGAAATGAATCCTTGATTTGCACCTAATGGAACTTATACCAAAATAGTTGAAGTAGTTTTATTATAAAACCAAGGAACTCATCGTAGAACCTGTGCAAAATGTTGATTCATCGGTAGAGCCGGTCCTTCAAAGGAAGCTGTTATTGATTTAGCAGTCGTCTCCTTCTCTCTCAACCCTAGAAGTGAAGCAGAAGAAGAACACTTCAAATCAATAGTTTGATAGAAAGAAATGAAGACTTTGATTCAGCAGGGATGCATTCAATTGATCAAAAGTGACAGTAAAGACATTTATAATGTTATAAAAGATTTTGGTTTCAAATAAATGCTGTTCTATTTGTCAAAGAATTATCAAAGACTCCACAAAAATATGAAGCAGCACAACTGTTTTGAACAATAATAATAATCATAAATGTTTCTTGAGCAGCAAATCATAATATTAGAGTGATTTCTGAAGGATCATGTGACACTGAAGACAGGAGTAATGATGCTGAAAATTCAGCTTTGATCACATTTGAATAAATTACATTTTACTATATATTACAATAGGAAATAGTTATTTTAAAAAGTAATAATATTTCAAAATATTACCATTTTTATTGTATTTTTCATCAAATAAATGCAGCCTTGGTGAGCGGAATACACTTCTTTCAAAAACATTTTAAAAATCCCATCCCAAAACTTTTGTATGAGAGTGTATAATATAATATATTTTCCAAAATCTTTAACCAAAGACCAATTTCTCGGCAACAAAATATTTGAGATCTGAGAATTACTATAAAAATGTATTTTCAACTAAAATTTCCATGCATGAAAATTACAATTACAAAATGTCCATTTTTACTTTTCATCATTTACTCACTCTCATTAAACCTCTTATTTTTTTCTTCCTTGACACACAAAATGAGCTTGAATCTTCCTGTCTGCAAGACTTACTACTTAGATCTTATTCACGACTGTGCAATTAAAAAATCATGCCATGGATGAATCAAAGCAGGTTTGAGATCATTGATTCCTTCATGTCAATGACAAAAATTACTCGACTCAGTAAAAAATTCTGTCGAAACCATTAAGTAGCATTGACTACTTTTAAGATACTTTTTTTGGATCTTGACAGCATGAATAACCATCAAATAATAAGTAAAATAATACAAGTCTGGAATGAGGCAAGGGTGAATAAATGAGGACCGAATTGTCATTTTTGGGAGAACCATCCGTTCAAGTTAGACACGACACACACACACACACACACACACACACACACACACACACACACACACACACACACACACACACACACACACACACACACACACACACACACACACACACACACACACACACACACACACGGACCAGTAAAGCAGTAAAGCATGACTGCAGGTGCCTCAAACTGATACCACATTAAACCTGTTTACACTTCCAGACCAATTATTTCAAACAGATGTAAACCGATGTTGCATCAACACTTGAAATGACCTCTAAACATTTAGATAAGGATCCTCATGCAATGCTTCCACATGCACAAGACTTCCTCCGCCTGGAACCCAGAAAGTCATTTTAATCGTCTGTAGAGAACATTCGTTTTTGTGAATATTAAGATACCAAACAGATTTGGGTTTGACAACAACTTCTCTTTGGTTGCCTGACAATTTTTTCTCTATATCAGTGTCAGTGTTTCTGAACTCCCTGAAACGCCTCCATTGTAGTCTTGAGGTTTCTTCCGGGAACAAACACGTCACAATATTCCTCATTTAAATCATTCATACGCAGAATAAAGGGGCGGGGCCTGGTTGAGTTAGTTAGTAGTGTGTTGAAACTGGCGGTTATGGTAAGGGGCGGGACATTTCCCCAAACACACTTGAAGCGCTTGACCAATCACAACACACTGCTCGATCAGCCGACCAATCAGAGCACAGTGTGCTTTTCAAAAGGAGGGGCTTCGAGGAACACTTCATAGTTCCTATAACCCAGGAACTGGGATCGATTTTAGTTCTAGAAACGCCTTTTGGTAGGACTAAATTAGCTCCTACTTCAGAGTAGAGTCTAACCCGGCACAAGAGGAACTACCAGTGACGTAAGTGTATGTTGATTGGACGAATGCATGCGAAACACTCCAGTCATTTTATAGCCTATATACAGTATTTACTCCACGGTCACGGAAAACAGCGATAGATGGACTGACGCAGAAGTCCAGGCACTTCTCAACCTTTACACCGTGTCCTAACTACACGCGACGCCGCGGCACGCGATAGAAGGTATCTTTTCCATGTTAATCAGAGTTTTTGTCCTAACCAGACGTGAGAGCGACACGCAAAGTTTCTAATTTAGAAACGGTTCCTATTTCTGCGACGTCGCGGCTGACAGATCCGCCCACACAGAGATCTCATTGGATGGAAGTTCGAATAAACCGATTGTCATATGAAGAAATTACACTGGTTATGAGTACACATTATTTATTTTTTTGTTAAAAATAGGTCACTGTGCCACAAGCGATAATATATCATTTACCTCAGACTTTGAAAGCATATAATATAGCGTTCAAACTGAATTCTAAGCAAACATACAACTGTACTTCATAACAAAATTAGTCAATGAGTATATTTTGTTAATGTTTTGATTTTTAATAATGTTATTTCTTGATTTGATTATGTCCTTACCCATTTCCAATGCGAGTGCGGGCCAGCAGTGCGCTTTCACAGAGAGACTCCGCCCACACGCTGTTCTGAATGGCTGTGATTTTTGATTGACGTGTGGCGTCTCACAGTCGCGTCGCGTCTAGTGTGGACAGACACACTTGCTGTCGCTGGAATTTTATCGCGTCGCGTGTAGTTAGGACACGGTGTTACGCTAACGAGGAAATCCAACGCTACTTTGAAGGTACCAAGCGAAGCATAATGATTATATATTTCTGCTCAGCTAGTGACACTGGACATCAACCACACAGTAAACGCTATAATACATTTTCATATACCCCTTAATTTCTTTAACAGTTCTATCTAATAACGTATTAGACAGGACTGTTAAGCAGATCGTTAACTAGTGAAGATGGAGAATGGGAGAGCTGTGTGCTCAGCGCTGTCAAAATAAAAGTCTGCAGTGCTGGTGCGAATGCAACCAGGAAAATGGCCCTAGGGGAAAATATAGTTCTCAGGGGACAGCCTTAGTGACTAGTTCCTATAACAGACTTCTTATAACTACCCGGTGCGAAAACCCCTATAGAGAGCGAAAACAAAACGAACGTGCATTTCCCAAAGCCAACCATGGTTGCAAGTTCTGTTGCGACCACATTTGGCTAATGATGCTTTTGGGAAACGCACCTCAGAGCATTACTGACAGACTGACAAATATATGTAAAAAAAATGATGTTCATGAAGCATTCAAAAGCATGAAAACCTATTCTAGTAGACCCCAAAAACAAAAAAGGGCTTAATAGGTCCTCTTTAAAGGTGCAATGTGTAAAATTTTTGAGTATCTATTAACAGAAATCCAATATGACATCCATAACTATGTTTTCAGTGGTGTATAAAGAACTTACTTAATAAACCATAATGTTTTTATTACCTTAGAATGAGACATTTATATCTACATAACCGCGGGAACCCCCTTCTATGGAGGTCGACATGTTGTGACGTCATGTTTCTACAGTAGCCGACAGCGAACACACAGCGCTACAGAGCGCGTTTCGTCACTACCTTGAAAGAGAAGCCGCAGAAAGCTAAAGCTAGCCATAGACACCGTGAGTAGTGACTTTTCCCTTGTCAGTGGTGTAAAATATGTAGTTGGATTGTTTCATGTAACTTAGTTCTTCTCCCTCGCTGTGTTATGGCTTTGCTATGTGGGGAGAAATGTGCTGGTTACGTTCGTGAGACAATCAGCTGATTGCTATTATTATATTATATATAATAATATAATAGAGTTTGGTTCCAAAACGCGATAAACGCCATTTAAAAAAAAAAATTAGTTACTGCAAAAATCAGTATTGTATCTGGTTGGTATTGAAAAGTCATTCCACGCAATGTAAACAGTAACGGCAGCGCCTTAAATACACCCGGCTTCCTAGTTTTTCTTATCTATTTTGTACTTTTCGATCAACAAACAAACAAAAAATGAATAATTTTGACGCCATTGATGAACCTGTGGTTGTTTCTGCGGTGGGTAAGAAACGTAAGGCATCAAAATCGAATCATTTACGAGAGGAGATTAAGAAGATGAGGCACTCGGGAGGAGGAAAAAATGTTTTCAATCTTCTTTACAGTTCTTAATAAAAAATATTATACTAATAAACTTACGTTGCAGTGTATTTTCAACAGTTTCAATATGAAAAAAAACAACTTTTATATTGATTCAATGGATTAATTGCATTTTGAATTTAAAAAAATGGATTTATTGCATTTTGGGGAAAAAAATAATCCGTTTTTATAATAAATATTTGAAAATCAAAACCTGGATTTAAATTTTTGTTGTTATTATGACCTACAAATGCTATGTGAAAGTTTGAAACAGAAAATAGTGGTTTTCATCTTTCCACTTTCTTGGTAAAGAAAACACATTTTTACTTAAATTAATGGATTTATTGCGTTTTGGAACCAAACTCTTCATATTAAGACCCTTGATCCTCACCTGACTATGGCTTTGTAAACATTATCCATGATGTGGTTTATAATGGACTGTGGTACAGAAACAGTGACAATGTTACACACTCTTGGCTTACTCTGGCTATTCTCTGCTGTCTCAGACGACGATATGTTTGTCCCGTTTGAGCCACCGTAGCTTCTTCGAAAGGGAGGGGTGAGCAGTGGGCTGAGCCCTTAGTGCAACTCGCAACCGAACTGCTAGATGCCGCTAAAAAATACACACTGCACCTTTAATGTTTAAATGGTTTATAGGAAATTCTCAGTGGATTTGATTTCTCTATTCAATTTTTTGGGTTCCAAAAGCTTATGGTAAAATGACACACGAGCCGTTACATGATGTATATGTGTGTACAGATCAACAGTGAAAGATGTGAGTGATAGTACCTCTTCATCACTTGGCCTGCTGATAGGTATAAGGTGAATGATCACTGGACGAATCCACCTGAGGTTGTGGACTGTTCTCCTGCAACAAAACATGATGCTTCAATTCTCACATTTAGGCACCAAATCAACACAAGCAAAGCATGTCATCTCATCATACAAGCTGAAATCAGAACAGAGATCTGAAGCACTAATATAATATAAGTCAGAATATAAATGACTGAATTTTTTCCACTGCATATTTCGCTTATTATTTTGAAGGCAATTAACATGCGCTAATGGATGACTGTCACAAAAACATGCTCACGTCACTGAAAAACAAACAACATAATAGGTTTCCCATTCTGTAAAAATAATACTATTACAATACTTTATCATATATATTAATTAAATAATATTAATTAATCAATAATTTTATAATTCATATTCAAAATATATCATTGCAGAAATGAAAGGCAATACACAAAATACTACCCTAATGTATAAATACTTCAATACTTGAATTTAAATCATATATTATTATTGTTATTATTATGCATCATAATTGGGAGAATGTGCTTAACCGTCATGAAGATAATCTCACAGAAAAAAATCAATAGCTCTAAAAATAAGTGAGCAAAATATTTAGGGCTGTCAAATGATTACCGGTAATCGTGATTAATCGCATCCAAAATAAAAGTTTTTTTTACCTAATATATGTGGGTGCACTGTGTATAATTATTTTATATATATAAATACACACACATGCTTGTATATATTTAAGAAATATTTTCATGTATATACTGTATATAGATTTATATATAATTTATATTATATATAAATATAAATATTTTATATATAAATAATATTTTTTTCTTAAATATACATGCATGTGTGTGTATTTATATATATACAAAATAATTATACACAGTGCACCCACATATATTATGTAAAAAAAACTTTTATTTTGGATGCGATTAATCACGATTAATCATTTGACAGCCCTAAAAATATTCTATTGTATTTCTTTTGTTTGATTTTGGAAACATTCCCTGGACGTGTTCTTGACACTCAAGAACATTTCAGCACAGTTGCACAAGCCCAGTCTGTTCTTCAACTTTTCTCCATTTATGGTGATTGTGAATTCAGAAAAGTACAGGACGAGGTTAAATCTGTGTCTGGGGAAAGTGTGTGTGGACATGAACCCACCTCTACTGAGACTGCGGTGGTCTGCATGTGAGTGTATGGAGGGATGTACTGCCCCTGGAGAGCTTGACTGGCTGGCATATACTACAGGACACACACACACACACACACACAGAGAGAAAACATCAACATATGCTGCTACAAACCTGCACACTTTGCTGCTGTAGTGTTTTGTGCTCTCATTCTGTCAGCGTTTTTTTATTTGGTTAGTTTTGTGTATTTCTGCTGAGTTGTGCATGATCCATGTGTGATCCATGTTTAAATATAGGCCTATACATTGTTTTGCAGCGTTTGGCCATTATATGCAGAATCAGTGTAACCCCCAAAAATATTATTGCACTATAAAAAATTCCAACATAAAATGTTGTTAATGCGATGTTTTGTTTACTCAAAATTGACAATTTATACAATTAACGAGTACATCATGAATCCATCTCGCATGCAGTTTCGTATATATGAACCGCTAGAGCGCCAAATGTCACATAATGTACCTTTAAATTCTTCAATACTATTATTATTAGAAAATGTGTCTTCCATATTGTGGCCTTTATGTTTTAATTGCAACTTGATAATTCACCAGTAGGTGGCGCTTAAGGTCAGATATGGGCTGCATCCAAAATTATTGCATACTTACCTACTTTATAGTAGGTGAAAAACAATATGTGAGCCAAGTAGTATGTCTGAATTCACAGTACTCATAATAGAGTAGGCAAAAAGTCCCCTACTACTACTACGGGATTTTGAAGTGTGCTTATGATGGACACTTTACTATCCCATGAGGCCACAGGAGAGGATTTGTGAAAGCGACACAACTGACGCTGGTAGGTCACATGACAATGACAACATGGTGGATGTGCTATAGTACGTCCGAATTACATTCATACTACACTTTTTTAGAGGTTGGAAACTAAGTACTTATTCAAAATAATTAATTAGCCATGCAATCAAATCACGTGAAGTTTCCTCTCGCTCTGACTACCATACTAACACACCATTTCTGCAGTATACAGTATTTAAACTCTGAACAGTATGCAAATTTATATGCATGGATACAAAATGATGCCAAAATGTGCAGGATACAACAAACTACTTTGTAATATTTAGCGTTGCATTGTGCATACTGTTTAAAAAAACATAATAAGCAGTGTATACAGCAGTAGGATGAAGGCCATTCTGAACACAGCCAGAGCTTTAAAGGGATAGTTCACCCAAAAATGAAAACTCTGTCAGTAATTACTCGCCCTCATGTTGTTCCAACCCCGTAAGACTTTCATTCATCTTCAGAACACAAATTAAGATATTTTTGATTAAATCTGAGAGCTGGATCACTCCTCCATAGGCTTCTTAAGGGATTGAAACTTGCCGGCCCAGAAAAGTTATTAAAGACATCGTTAAAATAGTCCGAGTGACTACAGTGGCTCAACCTTAAGTTTATCAAGCGACGAGAATACTTTTTGTGTGCAAAAAACAAACAAATTAATTTCCTTCTCTGTTGGCCTCGAGTAATTTCACGTAGTGTAACAGTGCAGCGCTTCTGGGTTGTACGTCACACGTAGGCTCACTATTGGCCGACGCTGGTCATGTGTGTGATGTAAAACCAGAAGCGCGGCGCTGTTACACTACGTGAAATTACTCGAGGCCCACAGAGAAGGAAATGAAGAGTTGAATAAAGTCGTTATTTTTGTTTGGATTTTTTTCGCACAAAAAGTATTCTCGTCGCTTGATAAACTTAAGGTTGAGCCACTGTAGTCACTCAGACTATTTTAACAATGTCTTTCATAACTTTTCTCGGCCGGCCAGGTTCAATCCCTTAAGAAGCCTATGGAGGAGTGATCCAGCTCTCAGATTTAATCAAAAATATCTTAATTTGTGTTCTGAAGATGAACGAAAGTCTTAAGGGGTTGGAACAACATGAGGGGGAGTAATTACTGACAGAGTTTTCACTTTTGAGGTGAACTATCCCTTTAAATAACAGCTGCAAGTGCTCTATATTAGCAGATTTTGAAGAAACAAAACAACACGTATGAGACAGTAGTGTGAGAAGTGTTGATTTGTGCTCACCGTTCCTGCGCTGCCCAGAGAGAGGTGACCCATCTGCTGAGTGAGAGGACTCATCATGGACGTGGGCTGCAGAGACATGGAGTGATCTATAGAGGGCGATATCACTGCTCCCTATGATGGAACGGGACATTTACATTACATTTATTATGCACTTTTATAGCCACATATAAACACTTCCTTTCATAATCAGCCCATTTTATAAAATAAAATAAATAATACTTGACTATTTTACTCAATATGTGTGTACTATGTATTTTCAAGCATAAGAATTTGCTGATATGCATGCTCTTTTCAAAAGGAAACGAAAATGAAAATTATTCAAATTTGTTGTCATTAATTGAAATAACGCTGCCTGAAATAAAAGAAAAATTATAAATATTAAATGAAAAACTTAAATGAAGCATATAAGAAACGTTGCAACTAACTGAAATAAACTCAAATATGTATTTGAGTATGAATTAGCTGATTTGCTCTTTCTAGTGTTTTTATTGTTTTAACTAAAATTATTAAAACTCATTAATTCAACTAAAGCTAAAATAAAATATAAATATTAGATTAACAAAATTTAACTTTGTAACTTTGTACCCAAAAAAAAAAAAAAAAAAATCACAATTACTGTTCACACTTTGTCTTCATAATGTTTGACCAATAAAATGTTGTTACAAAAAATAAAATAAATAATGTAATTCCCTTACAGAACAAAATGCCCTCAAAGAAAAAAAAGTTGGAAATAAGCAACTTACATATTTGGGTAAATACCCAAATTAATTTATTGACCAATAAAATTAATGTTTGACCAATTTAAATTATTAAATTAATTTGGGTATTTACCCAAATACGTAAGTTGCTTATTTCCAATTTTTTTTTTCTTTGAGGGCATTTTGTTCTGTAAGGGAATTACATTATTTATTTTATTTTTTGTAACAATTAGTTTATTGACCAAAATTAATTTAAGTAAATTAAGTAAATTTAAGTAAAATTAATACTTTTAATTAATTAAAAAAATATATTTTTTTTACTTAAGTTAAATTGTATTTACTTATATAAATAAGTATTTATTTATATAAGTAAATACTTATTTTGGGACTGCTTCCCAAAATTCCTGTTTTTTTGCTAATTTTCACTGCTGTGCTTTTAATAAAAAATAATGTTCACTAAAAAACAAGCACCAAACAGATCCTGGTAATACCATAGTTTTCTTTGAAATGTATGATAGATGAAGGTTTGTGATGTTTAATATGAAGTAAATGAGATATTGTGTGTGGCATCTGTGAAGTGTATTGGTGTGCGCCCAGGGTCTGTCTGGGATGTGTGTGTGTGACGAGTCCTGCTTTCTTACGCTGTGAGTCAGACTCTGAAAATCTTCCGTATATTTAAGAGCTGTGAGCCATCAGTGCCATTACTGGCCTTTAAATGCCACAGTTTCCGCATTTATGATCCACGGCACTCAGCTCTATACGCACTGACTCATAAGCCCATTATACCACACATTACTTACATACATTATACACACCCACTCAAATAGAAAAAAACACACATTGAATCTCTTCCGGTTTGATGTGTCATTCAGGCAGCTGAGCTTCACTTATTACCTGCAATCTGATCATCACTGATCTCACACACACACACACACACACCTCAGGTTCTTTATGCTAGCGTGGAATTCAACGACACTGTACTACAGCATCTGGGTGTGATCTAGTGTTAGTGCACTTATGCAAACACACACACACACTCACACCAGTGTTTCCTGCACATCCGTGGCGGCTGCTGCTCTTCAAGAGTAGGAAGCACACGTCACGCATCAGGGACCAAATGTGAACTTTTATGTTGTTCTAGGCAAAGTTGCTCCTAAAAGCAGCTTCTCAAATGACGGAATGGAAATAATTGACAAAAATTACTGGGTCTGTTTTTGTACGTTATTTACAGTAAGACTGACATATTCGTGACCGTCTGATGACTTATGATGGCCAACTGTGTTATTTTTCAAAGTAATGTTGATAATGCGTTATTAAAACTTAAATCTGTTTAATTACTAATTGTTTAATTACTGGTTGTTCATATGACAACATACAGTTTAAAGACACATCTCCAGCAGAGCTTTGACATATAAATAGTACTTTTATCAACAACAACAAAACAAATATTTTATTTTATTGTAAATAAACTAAAACAAAAGAAATAAAAATCTAATAAAAAGTAAAATATTCAAATAAAAATAAAAATAAATAGAAATTAAATATATAATAATTAAAAATGTGAAATAAAATGTAATGTAACTACAATAAGGTTCCAGAGTTAACTATATTAGGTAATAAGAACTAACAAGAAAAATATTTCTAAAGCATTTGTTAATCTGTTATGTTAATCTCAACAATTACTAATATCTGATTCAAATCAAAAGTTGTACCTGTTAACATTAGTTAAAGAACCAGAACAATAAACAGTAATTAATGTTAAAAAAGATTAACAAATACTGTAACGAATGTATTGCTCATTGTCAGTTAATGCATTAACTAACCTTAACTAATACAACCTTGTTGTAAAGTGTTACTAAAAAATAAATAAATAATATACAATAATAAAATAGGCTACTATATTTATAGTACCGGCGTGCAGATTTTATTATTATTATTATTTTTTTAATAAATGGAAGCTTTAGACTCTTAATTCTGTCCAATATTGATGTGCCAGCCAACGGTTAGACTTATTGACTATATTATTTGGCATAAGTTTGTTCATTTTGATAATCGATGAATTAATGTGGTTTGCTGCTTTAGTAAGTCTGTTTAGACTCTCTGTCGACGTCGCCCACACACTCAGTCTATGAGCAGTTCAAGTGTAGATCTCCCCCCCCCCCACACACACACACACACACACACACACTGTTGAGGACCAGCATGAGACGGCTCATGAGAGACAGGCAGTGATCAGACTCACCGGATGCTGCATGATGTACGGCTGATGGGTGACCCAGGATGGATTCTGGACCTGAACGATACAAATACAGTCCCTTAAAGGATTAGTTCACTTTAAAAAAAACTTTTGCTGATAATTTACTCACCCCCATTATGTCATCCAAGATGTCCATGTCTTTCTTTCTTCAGTCGAAAAGAAAGAAGGTTTTTGATGAAAACATTCCAGGATTTTTCTCCATATAATGGACTTCAATGGGGTCCAAACGGTTCAAGGTCCAAATGACAGTTTCAGTGCAGCTTCAAAGGGCTTTAAACGATACCAGACGATGAATAAGGGTCTTATCTAGCGAAACAATCGGTCATTTAAAAAAAAAAAAAAAATCAAAAGTTTAAGTTTTATAAGCACAAATGCTCGCCTTGCTCTGTTCGTGATGTCACGTAATACGCAATTACGTTGAAAAGGTCTCACAGAACAGTGAGAACAGAACAGAAACTATTTGTTTCGCTAGATAAGACCCTTATTCATCATCTGGTATCGTTTAAAGCCCTTTGAAGCTGCACTGAAACTGTCATTTGGACCTTGAACCGTTTGGACCCCATTGAAGTCCATTATATGGAGAAAAATCCTGGAATGTTTTCATCAAAAAGCTTAATTTCTTTTCGACTGAACAAAGAAAGACATGGACATCTTGAATACCAAGGTGAGTAAATTATCAGCAAAAGCTTTTTTTAAAGTGAACTAATCCTTTTTAAGACAGTTCTGACACATCCACTTCTCTGAGACCTCGATCGGTCTGTTTGATCTGACCTGGATATTGTGTGTTACCTGGTATGTGGACACAGGGGAGATGTATGGAGACATGGGCGTCTGTGTGATCATTCTGTTTGTAATACTGTAGGCAGTCGGATAGAATCTGTAGAGAGATGAAAAGGGCATATTTAGGCAATTACAGGTGGAAACTCGAAAAATTTGAATATCGTGCAAAAGTTATAATTTTGATGATTATGGCTTTTAAAAACCCTAAATTCAAAATCTCAGAAAATTAGAATATTACATGCAATCAATAAAAAAAAAGATTTTAAATACACAAATGTCGGCCCTCTGAAAAGTATAATCATGCATATGTATATAGTTATATATACTAAATATATTAGTTTCACCTTTTAATTTGAATTACTGAAATACATGAACTTTTGCACGATATTCTAATTTTTCTAGAGTTTCACCTGTATGTATGTGAGGCTGTGCACTATTGTGAATATAGTATGATAGCATTGAGTATGAGTATGCTGCCTTCTAAGATACCTTCTGTTATATAAATATTTGTAAATATAATTCGTTCAAGTATTAATATGTATAAATATATAGTACTTGACTATTTTACTCAACTAAAAACGTTAAAGCATTTGTAGTATGAACTCAAATGTGCTTGCTCTCTTTAGTGTGGTTATTGTTAACTAAAACAAAAATGTATTCATTGAAAATAACTCATTTATTGAAATAAGGCTGAAATAAAATATATATATATATATATATATATATATATATAAATATTAGATGAAAAATGTATTTATATTTTTGCATCTTTTTTTGTTGTTGAAATTGTGCCATGGCAACTCTATGAAAAATAAAAAATAAAATAAAAAATAATATTAATAATAGTGTTGTTATTGTTAACTGATACCAAAACTTATAAAAAGCGTAAATAATTATGAAATAAAGCGGATTTTAAATAATGGAATTAAGATTTTAAACCTGAAAACCTTAAATAAAATTTGTTGCAATTAACTGAAATATAAGTTTACGTTAAAGTACTAAAATTACTAAAACAGAAACAAAAATAGATGAAAGCTAAATAGAATCAAAAACTAGAATTAAAATGAAAGCTGAAAATATAAAAATACGAGCTAATTCAAAAAAGATGCATAAATACTACAATCCCTGGCAAAAATTATGGAATCACCAAACTTAGAGGATGTTCACTCAGATTTGTTACTTTATAGTAAACTAACAAATCACATATATGACACAAAAAGGTTTTGTTCAATAACTTAACATTCTGGCTTCATGAAACATACCTCACACAAATCCACTTTTTTTATTATTAATGCCATGTCTTTTCCCAGAGCAAGTAGAGGAAAAAAGTATGGAATTAATCCAATTAATAAAAAAAAAAATGATAAAAAAAAAAATGTAAGTGGATTTGAACAAAACCTTTTTTTGTGTCATGTTTATGTTGTTTATTTGCTATAATCTGAGTGTGTGATTCCATAATTTTTCAGGAGTTGTATAATACTCTACAAATACTACAGTAACACTGATTCTTTCTGAACTCTTATTGTCTCGTACCCATTTTGCATAGCAGCTGTGGTGGGGTCGTACGTGAGGGTCATGCCAGCCTATGAGAGAGAGAGAGAGAGAGAGAGAGAGAGAGAGAAATAAAACAATTATTACACTATTCAGTTCAAAGCTGTTTTTGAAGTGTTAAAAGAGGAAAACAAAAGTGTTGTGCCACTTTGTGCTTGTGAATCATCCACTAAAATACACTGAGCAAAGTTGATGAAGAGAAGTGTTAAGCACAGAGACTGTACAGACACTTATATTTTGTTACTTAAAGGTGTACTTTGTAAGTTTTTTTGTAAAAAACAAAATCAATTCTTCTTCCAAAACGTGTTTTTGTCTTCACCATGGCAAGTCTATTATAAGTGTTTATATTTTAGAGCGGGTGGGATGGTTTTCACACAAAATTGCGCACGTCACTCGCCTGCGTGTCTCATCATATCCGTAAATAGAGAAAAGTTGCTCCGGCTGCTTTGACGTGTGTCTGGTGTGAGAGGTCAGAGGTTAGTTGAGTGTGTGTGTGTGTGTGTGTGTGTGTGTGGTGTGAGAGGTCAGAGGTTAGTTGAGTGTGTGTGTGTGGTGTGAGAGGTCAGAGGTTAGTTGAGTGTGTGTGTGTGTGTGTGTGTGTGTGTGGTGTGAGAGGTCAGAGGTTAGTTGAGTGTGTGTGTGTGGTGTGAGAGGTCAGAGGTTAGTTGAGTGTGTGTGTGTGTGTGTGTGTGTGTGTGTGGTGTGAGAGGTCAGAGGTTAGTTGAGTGTGTGTGTGTGTGGTGTGAGAGGTCAGAGGTTAGTTGAGTGTGTGTGTGTGTGGTGTGAGAGGTCAGAGGTTAGTTGAGTGTGTGTGTGTGGTGTGAGAGGTCAGAGGTTAGTTGAGTGTGTGTGTGTGTGTGTGTGTGTGTGTGTGTGCTGTGAGAGGTCAGAGGTTAGTTGAGTGTGTGTGTGTGTGTGTGTGTGTGGTGTGAGAGGTCAGAGGTTAGTTGAGTGTGTGTGTGTGTGTGTGTGGTGTGAGAGGTCAGAGGTTAGTTGAGTGTGTGTGTGTGTGTGTGTGGTGTGAGAGGTCAGAGGTTAGTTGAGTGTGTGTGTGTGTGTGTGTGTGTGTGTGTGTGGTGTGAGAGGTCAGAGGTTATTTGAGTGTGTGTGTGGTGTGAGAGGTCAGAGGTTAGTTGAGTGTGTCTGTGTGTGTGTGTGGTGTGAGAGGTCAGAGGTTAGTTGAGTGTGTGTGTGTGTGTGTGTGTGCTGTGAGAGGTCAGAGGTTAGTTGAGTGTGTGTGTGTGGTGTGAGAGGTCAGAGGTTAGTTGAGTGTGTGTGTGTGTGTGTGGTGTGAGAGGTCAGAGGTTAGTTGAGTGTGTGTGTGTGTGTGTGTGTGTGTGTGTGTGTGTGGTGTGAGAGGTCAGAGGTTATTTGAGTGTGTGTGTGGTGTGAGAGGTCAGAGGTTAGTTGAGTGTGTGTGTGTGTGTGTGTGTGTGTGTGTGTGTGGTGTGAGAGGTCAGAGGTTAGTTGAGTGTGTGTGTGTGTGTGTGTGTGTGCGTGCTGTGAGAGGTCAGAGGTTAGTTGAGTGTGTGTGTGTTGTGTGAGAGGTCAGAGGTTAGTTGAGTGTGTGTGTGTGTGTGTGTGTGTGTGTGGTGTAAGAGGTCAGAGGTTATTTGAGTGTGTGTGTGGTGTGAGAGGTCAGAGGTTATTTGAGTGTGTGTGTGGTGTGAGAGGTCAGAGGTTATTTGAGTGTGTCTGTGTGTGTGTGTGTGTGTGTGTGTGGTGTGAGAGGTCAGAGGTTATTTGAGTGTGTCTGTGTGTGTGTGTGTGTGTGTGGTGTGAGAGGTCAGAGGTTATTTGAGTGTGTCTGTGTGTGTGTGCGCTGTGAGAGGTCAGAGGTTAGTTGAGTGTGTGTGTCTGGTGTAAGAGGTCAGAGGTTAGTTGTGTGTGTGTGTGTGTGTGCGCTGCGAGAGGTCAGAGGTTAGTTGAGTGTGTGTGTGTGTGTGTGTGTGTGTGTGATTACACCCAAAATTCTATATATTTATATATATATATAGAACTGGTTCAACTGCTTCTATTGTTCTCCTTATTTGTAAGTCGCTTTGGACAAAGCGCCTGCTAAATGATTAAATGTAAATGTAAACCCATAAAATTGGTTTAATAAAATTATCTGGCGTGACAGCAAACCCATTCTGCTGTAATTACATGCTGTCCACGACCTTCTCTGTGCGTGGCTTGCACATGATAAGCAGAAAAAAATGAAAATGTTCAAAGTCATTTTTATAAGAGAAACCACAGCATCAACTCAATTGGCTTTATGCACAGCTTCACTACTTCCTGAACTTCAGCCAGCCCTTTGTTTCCTGTCTGTCATTATTGGACAAACTGATTAATTCAGGTGTGCCTGGCCTCAGTAACAATAATCAGGCACACCTGGATTAATCAGTTTGTCCAATAATGACAGACAGGAAACAAAGGGCTGGCTGAAGTTCAGGAAGTAGTGAAGCTGTGCATAAAGCCTATTAAGGACATTTGTGATGTGATGTCACAGTGAACACTGACTGCAGGAACGTGTCTCGCTCTGCTCCGTGACCGAGTGAGCTGACTACACAGACAGCATTTTAAGGCATCATATGTGTTAGAAGTCTGCAAAGGCGCTTCGTTTGACCAAATATTTCAGATAAGGCAATCCCAGAATGCACTGTGACAAAATTACGGTAAGATGGATTATAAAGCAAAAGAAATGCTGATTATATGAATACAATTAGTTAAATCCTGAAGAGATCTGTTAAAAAAATTATAATAATAAAAAAAGGGGAAGAGAGGTCCCCTTTTTTGAAATACATAAAATACTAAATGAAATGAAATACATAAAATAAAATAGATTATTATACTAAAACTAGTGTGAAGAAACAAACGAACGAAAGAGTTTTTATAAATAGACTAGTTAATTCTATTTAGATGAACAATGTTGTAAAATAATGATGAATTCAAATCAAAGAATGCATTGCGACAAAATAAAATTTCTTTATAATAGCATATAAAGAAAAATAAATGTTGATTACAAATACGATTAATTAAATCCTGAAGATAACTGATCAAAATAAAACAAGACATAAAAAAATGATAAAATAACATAAACAGTGGAGAAAAAAAATCTGTTTGGATGAGGAATATTGTAAAATATTGATAAATACAAAGAAAGATTTTGATTATACATATGATTAATTTAATCCCAAAGAGTACTGATCAAAAAAAAAAAAATCAAAAAAAAAAAAATAACCTAAATATGATTAATAAAATCCTGAAGTGTATTTATAATATAATAATTTTTTTTAAAAACAATTTGTATAAAATGTACTTTTAACCAATATCCACATACACTGTGGGTTAGGGTTAGGTCACTTATGAGGGTAGATTTCAGTTAGGATGATGTATTACAAGGCAGCTCCCTGTCCCTATCAAGTGACTCAACTGTTTACACACACACACACACACACACACACACACACACACACACAGAGAGAGAGAGAGAGACAGATACACACACGCACACACACGCACACACACACACACACACACAAACAGAGAGACAGACAGATACACACACAGACACAGAGTCAGATATACACACACACACACACACACAGAGACACACACACAGAGACAGAGACACACAGAGACACACACACACAAACAAACACAGAGACACACAGAGAGACAGATACACACACACACACACACACACACACACACACACACACACACACACACACACACACACACACACACACACAGACACACACGGAAACACACACAGACACACACACACAGACACGCAAACACTGAGACACACAGAGAGACAGATACACACACACACACACACACACACACACACAGACACGCACACACACACACACACACACACACACACACACACACACACACACACAGACAGAGACACACACACACACACACACACACACAGAGACACACACACACACACAGAGAGACACACACACTCTCAGTATCACTTGTGTGGCTCACGTAATGTATGACTGTATTAGAGTAGCTTGTGTAAACACACACACACCCACATGAGCAGCGTTGTGTAACCTCTCTGCTGTCCGTGTGTTTGCTAACAAGCGGTGGCAGGTGATCCACGGCTGTAAAAGCGACCGGACAGCGAGAGCAGAAGAGCAGTACTCACGAGTCTGCTGTCCCCGTCTCTGGCCCAGCCTCGTCCGTTCTGCACATATTTATTTTGACTCTGACGCTTCTTCTGGCCTCCGTCCGCAAACTTGCACAGCAAGGGTTCTGACGGCGCTGCGGAGACAAGGAGGAGGTGCATGAACTCTCAGCGTGAAGCTCACTGCTCACTCATAACACTCCGAACACGACCAAAACCATCATAGTGTGACAGCAGACATGGCTCGAGCGTTACACATTTTGTTATAGCACAGTAGGACAGCTTTACGTTAAGTACATTAAACAGGGAGTGAAAATACAGCAGGACAAGATATCATAATTAACTGACCCAAATATTCATAATTAATCTTAACAAGTTATTATTGATTATTAATATTCCATAGAGCTAATTTGTTACACATACATATTTTTGTAGATTAAATTAGTTTCAACCTTTTGATTCATCATCTAGCGCTTAAATTAAAGCGATAACTTAGATTATGGAAATGATAGATTGCCGGGGAATGCATAAACTGATAAAAATGCATACCTTGAATGCAATGCAAGTTGCTTTGGATAAAAACGTCTGCGAAATGCATACATTTAAAGGTGCTATATGTATTTTTTAGCGGCCTCTATCGGTGATGTTTCAGATTGCAACCAATTTTTACTAGAGTGCTCGTGCTCGAACACAAGAGCGAGCACTCATGGTACCGGCCACACTGAGACTTTCAACACACCGGAGAAAGCATCACACAACATGCTGGAAACTCATGTAAACTCCCACTGCAACGTTACAATAATAGGCTACTTTTATCAGCTTGACGTTGAACTAATGCTCCATGCTCGTACCATGCTAACGTTACATTGACTGCATTTAGCCGACATGTGGTGTTAGCATAATAAGGCATTTCACTAACTATTCGTGTATCTTTCACAATCAGCAATGTCAACATAGGTGAATGTATAATATGATAACGAAAACGGCTAGTGAACTAGACTGAACAATGTCAGTGTAACAGTAAGACAGTAGGAAGTAACATTACTGCACTGAACGTGTCTGGAAATGTGTATTATAAACAATATGATAGTAGTGGGATGAGTGACGTTAAGACAGTAGATCTACATAAAATAAAAGTTACATCCTAAAGCACCTACTTTTTGTTATCCTGGAACAGTCTTTTGTATTCATTTCATGTCTCATGTATGTTGTAGTTTACCTTGCTATTTCATTACAGTTTACCATTATTTATTTCAGCATATCTGAAACTTGTAATTTATCACAATAAAAATAGCCGAGGTCTCTCCATAATTCAAACGCTTTGCCGATGTTGATCCGTGTTTTCGTCCTGAGTCGATCCGATTCACGTTTGGCCTGACGAGCTTCAGCAGATACATTTTTGTTTTGTTTTGTTTTTTATATTAATGTGGAGTTTGTGTTGGAGTGTGTGTTGTGCTGGAGGCAGGAGTGTTTGGTGTTATCAGACTCCATGTCGTTCGCTGCAGTGCCGTCGCATAGACTGTATATAAAAGGAGAGAGGCTCGGGAGCGCGCGTGCACGTCACATCCGATGGATTTCGCAGAAAATCCGACCCGGAGACTTCACATAGAAATAGGAATACTGGCCTTCAGAGGTAATAGCAGAACCAGACAAGTGGATCATTGTAATGTGTGATTACAACCCCTTCACACACAGGCAATAAAAAAAGGATTCATTTTAGAAGAAAAGTTACATATAGCACCTTTAAATGTATAACAGTAGTTTATGGAAAAAGATAAAACCATTTTAAAGAGTGCTTTCCCTTTAAAAATGCATTTCATGTTATTTGATTAAAACATCACATGCACCCTTAAAGGAAAAACGCTTTAGTTAGTCATTTTTTAAACAAATCAAGGTTACGTTTTACATTAACTTATATTTACATTTATTCATATATTTACATTTTTCAGTGGCTTACAAATGTTGACCAGCCATAGAAAGAAAATAATTACTGCATCAGATCAGACAGAATTTCACTATTTGTGCATCCTTAAATCCGGACATACAATCAAGTATTTTTCCTTCTTGAATATCATGTTTCATGATTATGGAAGTAAAAATGGGATTTGAAAAACCAAACTTTGTGCCTAATAAACAACATCCTCGCCTTGACATAACCCACTATATACATTTTCAGCATCTATGATTCATAGTTGCAGATGTAATGCATAAAGTGCATAGCAAAATCTCTAATGCATAAATGGCACAGCAAAATCTCTACCAGTTACACACCGCCGATTTCCGTCTTAAAGCCTCTGAGGCTTCCTGGCTCCATCCACAATGACTTTCCCACAATGCTCGGAGAACAGGGATCTAATGTGGAAGCTGTCTTCGTATAATCCCCTTCCTTCCTTTCTGACATGGTCAGTGGAGACTATTTCAGTCTAATAATCCAATTAAAATGCTTAGAGAGGCCACGCAAGGCCGAGATTCCACTCAAAGAAAATTAGCACACATTGCTTTCACTTGAGCCCCAAACGAACCTCCACGAATCATATAAGCTCTCACTGCAGCATTATGAACATTAGCTCCACCCAGCTTTGTAGATTTTCAGTGTTTCGTGCAGCAAGTCTGAATCTACATTCGTGCGAAAGCCGTTTGGTATGGCTGAATGGTTGCGCCACATGCCCGAAAGCCTGTTTCCATTTAGACCCCATCCCAGGAGAATCATTACCAGAGAATGAATGAATGTGCTCGAACAGAGCCGCGCTGTGCTTTTATGCACAAACAAATAGAGATAAAACACACATTACAGGAGGAGTTCACCCAAAAATGATAATCTGTCATCATTTACTCGTATTATGTGGGGAAAAAATAGGCTTTTGTGGAAGAAACAGTATAAGGGTGAGCAAACAATGATAGTAATTTAATTTTTTCGTGAACTATACCATTAAAGTAAACATGACGTACGCACAGACACACACTTACCCATAACTCCAGCTGGTGTTTTCAGAAATTTTCCATTGAAGTGAGAGATGACAGCTTCACATTTCTCTGTTGACTCCATCCTAGAGAAACATATTATCGGTTTATAGGTTTGCACATTTGAGTATCAAACATCATTCTCATCATCTGCATCAATCTGTCAATGTTGAGAAACATGTTAAAGTCATATGAAGCATAGCGAATAAAGCTACATTTTTAATATCACACTACTTTTAAAACACGGCTGGACATTAGACTAGTTTCACAATCCTTCCTTTTCTTGTTCAGACAAAGAGGTTTTAACAACATCTCTCATTTAAACTTCATTTAGGTTTAGATTTGGTAAGACCGATTCATTTCAGTGAATCACTTCAAACTGATTATTTTAGTGAATCAATTTAAATGATTCAATGATTCATGCGTGCCATCACTCAAAAATGTTCAAAGAACAAGTTGTTATGGTGACTAAAACTTAAACTAAATATATATATATATAAAAAAAATTGTTACTTAAAATAAAATAAACGTTAACTGAAATAAAATAAAATGTCAAAAACTTATTTTATTTCAGCTAGCTTCCAAGGCAATATTTCTCATTTTAATTTAGTTTAACTCGATGTGCTAAAATAACTAAAACTTTAATAAAAAAATTCATAAAAACTATATAGACATATTTTTTAAAAACACCCGAAAACACACAACAAAATGACAAAAACTTTAACTAAAAATATTAATTAAAATATTAATAAAAACTATAATAGTATTTCTCAATGATACTAAAATAACTCTCTGCACGTCATTGTTATGTATAAAAAGCATTTAAAAAAATGCAGTTAAAAATATATGTACCTAAATATTGCTGTTTATTTTTATATTTTGTTATATTTGAGCATATAAATTAAAATGGTTAAATATCATTCTTTCTGAATGCCTAGATTATTTTAACTACAAAAAAAAATACACATCAATTTCAAAACAAATATAGAGATTGTACTGAATATCATCAAAAGGGGGTAGAAATTGAGATTTTCATAAACATTTGGATATGTGGAGCTATGAAAACCAACATGACACAAGTTTTGTGTTATCATTAGAAACCATTGTCATTATTTATATCGTTGTTATTTTAAAACTTGCTTCTCTGATTAAATCAACCAGTTCAGATTTATTTTTAAACTCAAGTGAATAACACTTTTTTTACAAGTTTTTACTTGCACTGTATCATGAATTTACCAAGCGGAGTTCAGAGAGTTCAGTTTCCTGGCTTTGCCTTGCTGATATGTCAGATACACAGATATATTTGAAAGCAACTGACTGGCACTAAGAATCATGGGAGGGTCTGAAGTGTTTGTGTTGTGGTGGGCAGAAAGCCAGGGGCTTTCCAGGACGTCTGAATCCCATGCCCTGATCGACGCTACAGTCTTGAACCATGATTGGGGAATTCACAAAGAATGATAGCGTGACAACGGGGTGATTTGGGTTCAGATATGAGACCCTCACCTGGCAAATCCGACCCCTCGGCTGGCCCCGTTGCTGTCCCGTAGGATGCGTGTGGAGACGACCTGTCCGAAAGACTTCAGCATGGCCTCTAACTCCTGCTCATCCATGGTCAGCGGCAGGTTAGAGATGTACAGGTTAGTGGGGTCCTGCTCTTGTTGCTGTTGGGAGTGTGACAGAGAGAAAAAAAAGAGACAAAAACTGTGAAACTTTTGACATTTTATTGGTTATCTGGTCACTGATCATCCGTGGTGGGTAGTAACTTATATGTAATTTGGATTACATAATCAGATTAATCCAAAAAATTGAAGTACTTGTAATTAAATTATATTTTAAAATACTCATAAACAGACATATTATTCATTATTCACACAATGGCAGTAAATAATTCATAATTTATTGGTTGTCTGATGTCGGGTACTGGTCATATGGCATGCAAAAAAAAAAAAAGTATATATATATATATATACACACACTTCTCTCAAAAGTGTACGTAATAATGTTCAATTCTAGGCCAAACTTGTGATTAGTTTAATGTCTCTGCAAACATTACAGCAGCTGTCAGATATCTGGATTTACTCTTAAAGGTGAATATTCAACATTCAGCTAATATGGAGTTTTTCACACACACACACACACACACACACACACACGCACGCACGCACGCACGCACGCACGCACGCACGCACGCACGCACACACACTGTGTAAATATTATTAATATTCAAAAAAGAACACAGCAATGATCAAATACAGACAGTAAAACAATAATCACCAGCTATAAAAATGGGTAAGATAAACTCATAGAAGCAGGGAATAAAGGAAAATTAAACGGCAAAAAAAAAAAAAAAAGTTTTAAGAGAAGATTTAAAAATTGATACATTTGGGGCAGTTCTAATGTAAGCCGGGAGACTGATCCATAATTTAGGTCCAACAACTGAAAAAGCTCTATTTTTGAGTTTACTCCTGGGAACATAAAGTCATTCAGAATCACCTGATCTAAGTGATCTCGACTGTGTGTACGGGTGCAATAAGTCAGAGAGGTATTGTGGTGCCTGATTTAAATTAAATACAAATAATACAATTTTAAAATCAATTCTATATTCAACTGGAAGCCAATGAAGGGAAATCAAGATCGGTGTAATATGCTCACACTTACGGTTCCCCTTGAGAAGTTGGGCCTAATTGTAACTAATTGTAAACGTGAGATGGATGACTAGGGAACACCGACGTACAGTGAGATGCAATGCAATAATCCAACCAAGATGTTACAAAGGCATGCATAACCGTTTCAAACTCCTTTAAAAGACAAGAATGGCTTAACCTTAGTTAAAATACGAAGATCATAAAAACAAAATGTAACCACAGCACTTATCTGCTTAACAAATTTAAGGCTGTTTTTGCTGATTCCTAACACATGTGGTAGTGTACGTTAACAGCCCGGGGAATCAATATCAAAGTCATGAACACTGTGCTCATTCGAGTCAAAAAGCACAATTTCAGACTTACTCTCATTTAGACTGAAAAAATTACTCGTAAGTAATAACTCACCCAAACAGTCTAAAATAGGCTTTAAGGCAAGGCATGCTTATTCTCACGCTTTAAAGGCAGATACATTTGGGTGTCGTCCGCAAAAAGGTGAAAGGACACTCCATACCTGTTTGAAATAGATCCCAAAGGAAGCATATAAAGAGAAAATAATACAGGGCCGAGAACTGAGCCCTGAGGAACACCAGATGTTACATGAATTTCAGAGGAGAAATTATGTCCTCGGTGGAACGCATATCTCCTATTATATGAGCTGAACCACTGCAACACTGTAACCCGAAGGCTCACACATGACTATAGGCACGATACATATATATATATATATATATATACACTAGGGCTGTCAAATGATTAATCGTGATTAATCACATCCAAAATAAAAGTTTTTTTTACATAATATATGTGGGTGCACTGTGTATAATTATTTTATAAATATAAATACACACATGGTTGTATATATTTAAGAAATATTTTCATGTATATACTGTATATAGATTTATATATTATTTATATTATATATAAATATAAATATTTTATATATAAATAATATTTTTTTCTTAAATATACATGCATGTGTGTGTATTTATATATATACAATATAATTATACACAGTGCACCCACATATATTATGTAAAAAAAACTTTTATTTTGGATGTGATTAATCGTGATTAATCATTTGACAGCCCTAATATATACATATATTGCATAGAACACCAGGGTGAGTAAATGATGACTTCATTTTCATTTTAGGGTGAACTATCCCTTTAAGGTTTTAGTTTAACAGGGTGCTAATAGTCACACCTGAGTTACACACCTGTAAAAACACTTGAGGCCCTCAGATCTTATCATTTATTTCAATTCACACACTGCCAGAGCTCCGTCACAGTATATACACACTTTATCAGATAGCGGACGAACACCTGGAGATCTGACAACAGAAATCACTGACCATCCACACTTGGCATTCAATAATCAACCTAGTGAGCTGCCTAGATGTCTTCTTAAAGGGATAGTTCACCCAAAAATAAAAACTCTGTCAGTAATTACTCGCCCTCATGTTGTTCAACCCCGTAAGACTTTCGTTCATCTTCAGAACACAAATTAAGATATTTTTTGATTAAATCTGAGAGCTGGATCACTCCTCCATAGGCTTCTAAGGGATTGAAACTTGCCGGCCCAGAAAAGTTATTAAATACTTTTATAGTTATTATAATTATATAACCTTCCAGTTCTGTTGTGGATCCGCGTTCAGTGCCGCTGCTGACGTAAGACGCTGCTGACGTGTGTCTGGTGTGTGTGTGTGTGTGTATTCCGGTTCTGTTGTGGATCCGCGTTCAGTGCCGCTGCTGACGTGTCTCTGGTGCGTCCGTGTTTTCGGGTTCAAATAAATATGGCTGGGCAAAAAAAAGCAAGTCTTCCTCTGTGTGGAAATCCTTAGACTTGTTTGCGAAGATTGTTTTGTTTCCAGCGTGCGTCTCCCTCAAGACTGTAAACAAAGCTCGGGCGCACCAGACACACACACACACACACACACCAGACACACGTCAGCAGCGTCTTACGTCAGCGGCGGCACTGAACGCGGATCCACAACAGAACCGGAACACACACACACACACACACCAGACACACGTCAGCAGCGGCACTGAACGCAGATCCACAACAGAACCGGAAGACAATACAATGCTGAATAAAGTCCTAGTTTTAGTTATTTTTGGACCAAAATGTATTTTCGATGCTTCAAAACATTGTAACTAACCCACTGATGTCACATGGACTAACCCACTGATGTCACATGGACTAACCCACTGATGTCACATGGACTACTCTGATGATGTCTTTATTTCCTTTCTGGACAAGGACAGTATACCGTACACACATTTTCAATGGAGGGACAGAAAGCTCTCGGACTAAATCTAAAATATCTTAAACTGTGTCCCGAAGGTCTTACGGGCTTGGGACGACATGAGGGTGAGTCATTAATGACATAATTTTCATTTTTGGGTGAACTAACCCTTTAACATGCTGACTAGGTAGGCAGCTCATTAAGTTTTGGTAAAACTGTTAATTAAGACAATATCTAAATACATAGCACAGGTGAATTAAATTCATAAAAGAGGCTAAAGTGAAAACATGTCTCCCTCTCCACACTCTCTAGCTAATAAAGGGTGAGCATTAATATTGATGAGCGGTTCATTTGCATGCGGCTCTCGGCCACCCCCCATCCAAGCGGCGAAACGTCGACTGATTTTCTGCCGTAGTTTCCCTTCCATCAGCAGAAACCAAAAGAGAAACAGGCAGAGAGAGAGAAAGACTCTCCCCAGGGACAAAAGGGCCGCTACATTAATATTCATTAACATCCTACTGCGTTCAATCTCCACCCCTAAGAGATGGAGGAAAAATGAGCAGAACAAAGAGAAGACAAGGGAGAGGCGGGATTGGATTACTAAAGTAATACGTTGACAGAAAAAAAATCAGCATAGCGGCATTAGGAAACAATGGCAGAGGGCCGGCGCTGAGCTGTCGTGCCCAGAGAACGACGCTCCATCACGGGTATAACGGATGGAAGAGCAAACGAGTGCTGGAGATCCTTAAGAGCCATCAAAAACTATGTTTATTTATTTTTTAAAAAGATGTAGCTATTACAAATGACAATGTCCATAACTAAACACAGAAGGTCGAACACTGCAGTTATAACAGCCAGGGTGTTTTATGGGCCCGTTTTTGAATGGCAAATAAATTCACAATGTGCTTGGCTTGCTCCAGGGGAGAACTAAAACACTGGTGTGGTTTTTAAACAGACGTATCCTGACCTGAAATCTAATACCAGAGCCACATACCGGTGCTAACCCTGGTCATCAGGGTCGGGCTACACCAGACATACGGAAGCTCTTATTTAAAAGGTGCTGGAAGCAAAATAGCATGACTAAAATTTACTGAAATATGTAGAATGATATGAAAAAAAAATGCTTTCGATGTAAGATCATATTGATCTAAAGTGAGACTACAGAAAAAATATATATATTTCAAATAAATGCTGTTCTTTTGAACTTTTTAGTTATCAAAGAATCCTGAAAAAAAAGTATCAAGGTTTCAACAAAAATGTGAAGCAGCACAACTGTTTTCAACATTGATAATAATAATAAATGTTTTTGAGCAGCAAAACAGCACATTAAAATGATTCAGCTTTGACATCACAGGGAATAAATAATAAAATATATTATTTTAAATAGTAATAATATTACTATCAACTGCCTGTTGAGCCTAAGATTTTAAAAAAACCTTGCTGACCATATATATATATATATATATATATATATATAAATGTGTGTGTGTGTGTCTGTGTGTGTGTGTGTGTTAGGGATGCACCAAAATGAACATTCTGGCCAGAAATCAAAACTGCTTTTTAAAAATTTAATTATTTCATATCTTTATTTCGCATTTTTTGTGTATAATTGAATTAATATTAGACTTTTTAAAGAAACTCAATCATTTTAATTCAAGCCAAAAAAAAGTAACACACTAAAATTGGAGAGAAAATATTAATATTAAATATCCATGTATACTTTAAATATCCATGTATTCTGTTTGCAATAGCTCTACTGTGCATGCATTTATTTAACATGTATTTTAAATCAATATGAAGTATTGATTTATGGTTTAAGGACCTAGTGAGAATTATGTATTTATATGTATTTAAATAATTATTGTATTAAATGCATAATATTTGAATATAGAAATAGAAAATATATATGCATTTTGTACATATGAGTTTCTTCATAAATCTTACATTCATGTTACATTAAAAAGTAAGTTGGGTTGGTTGCAAACAGTTAAGTAAAAGCATCATCAAGTGTGCATCATTCCCCTTTTTCCATTAGTGGTTTTTTTTCAGGGTTTTCATGACATTTTCATGACTATTATTAAAAAAATGTGTTGAAAATCTACATACACCTGTAGGCTAAGTAACGCCGGGCTGGTGCAGCTGGCCTCAGATTACCGGACAGAGCGAGGCTGTTCAGACATCAGATCAGCTCAAGCCACTGCACGCACGCAATGCTGAGTTACATCTCTCAGGTCAGGCATTAAGAGCTTTACGCTGATATCAGTATACAGAGATACTGAGGAAAGACACTACATCAATCTCACACACATCCCTATTAGCTGATCAGCTGACATTAGACACCAAATACCAATTTCCAGCACAAAAAAAAACACATCAAGATTCTAAAACAATGAATATTTAAATAAATAAGTCTGAAATATCATACTAGAGTAGTATGAAGCAATGCAGGAAACATTGGTATCAGTGTGTGTGGGCTTGCATGTGTTTCACCTGCTAGCAATTTACTCAACATGAACCATGTGACTTCGACAGAGAAAAAGCACACAATATGCGTATGAGTGTGTGTCAGACGCAGATGGTACAAGAGAACGTGAGAGAGAAAAACTCAGTGTATATGTGTGAACAGGAATGCATGGCATATGTGAGGGTGTAAGAAGACTATGTTCAGAATATATTACTCTTACTATTCCTGCACTTTATAGTGTGTGTATACCATGCACAGTATGTGAAGTTTCCTTTTACAGTACAGTACTTACAGTGTACTTACCTAGAAAGTACTGGCTAATATAAGGTAAGTACATGGGTTAGGGGTAGGTTTAAGGGTTAGTGCCTAGTTATTACCCAGTAATTGTAATTACTATAATAAGTACATAGTAAGTACATGGGTACACTCTAAACAATGCTGGGTTGTTTTAACCCAAATTTGGGTCAAATATGGACAAACCCAAATGTTGGGTTAAAAATGTAATTTAAAATTTTAACTCAACTTCAACTTTCACTTTCAACTGTACATTTTTTAATTACATTTTTAACCCAACATTTGGGTTTGTCCATATTTGACCCAAATTTGGGTTGAAACAACCCAGCATTTTTTAGAGTGTAACAGGACTGTAAAAGGAAGCGTTACCGAAGTTTCTATATGCATAGAATACCCAGATGACCTAAATGTGAAGTATACAACAGAAATCACTATGTGCAGTATTTTTTTTCTTCCCATAAATCATAACTATTGGTCACCCTGTACATCTGGTTTTGCAAATATTTTACCAATGAAAAGTAAATAAAAAACTGGAAGAAACACTATATATATGTATTTGAGGAGCGGAGAAGAGTGTCTTAGTCTAGCATCTGTCTTTTACAACATGAGATTTTGGTCAAATGACAGAAAAAAAAAACTGAGCACCGACATAAGTTATAGATACAATAAACTTTATAACCTGTAAGTTGATGAAAACGTACTGCGATGCACTTACCGCCTCAGATGTGGTCGTTCTAATGACGGACAAAACACGTATATCAGAAATTCGCTGATCAAAAACCTAAAAAAAACTCCCATTTGAGCTTGACTTTGGTCAAATGTTAATAATATAACAAAACATGCAAGTGTCTGGCCATATATAAAGGCACAATATCAACTTTGACGACTAATTATTTAAAAATTATTTAAAAAAAATCATTTGCTGAAGTGTTTCAGTTTTGGACACACAAGGATTCGCCCGACAGCGACGATATGCAATGCAAAAGCAATGATCATTAATGTTAGATCCAGACAAAACTGGATCTAAAATAACATTTCTGATACAATAACAGCAAGAAGGATGAAGTTATGTGACAACAATGCAGTATAAGACGTTTTTGAGAGATTTGTCGTACATATTTTTAAAACAATGTAGGCAGCAAAAAGTACATAAAAATAGTAAGCTAGTTTTGCAAATAAAGCCGGAGTGAAAGTTTCAGACACAGTGCCATGTCACTAGGTTACTCCAGGGGCTTCCCGTCTGAGATATTGATGTCTAACCATCTGTTTATATCATAAACAAGGTGAAAGGACGAAACATCCAAGGACAACACGCCAAGATGTCTGTGCCAGAGTGAGAGCATGAAAAAAGTCCGTCCAAGCAACTCCATTTATAATGTACTGTGCAGGTTCATTTTGTACGTCATCAGGTTTTTTTTTTTACTCCTTTAGGAAAAAGCCATAATTAAACACAGATAACCGTGCTCTTGAAATGATATTTTCAGCACAAACAACACTGTCAACACTCATATACTTCAACATAACCATATCCCACCCAGTTGTGCAACTCAGTTTTAATTACACACTTGCCCTTTAAATAAATATGCATGCAAATTCTGATGCTCTAATTACCTTGTTAGTGAATCATCACAAAAGACCAAGAACAACAAGTCAGAGTCAATATAAGTCGTCTTTACAAAAACAATGCGAATCTTTTTCCGAGTCAATTCGTTCATTTCGATGACTCGAAAAAAGATTCGTTCATTTTGATGAACGAGTTCGAACAGGAGAGTCACACAGAACAAAGCAAGGCGAGCATTTGAGCTTATAAAACTTAAACTTTGTTATTTATTTTTTAAATGAGCGATCGTTTCGCTTGATAAGACCCTTATTCATCGTCTGGAATCGTTTAAAGCCCTTTGAACAGTTTGCAGTTTGCACTGAAACTGTCTTTTGGACCTTGAACCGTTTGGTGCTGCCCAGCAAAGTGCATTATATTGAGAAAAATCCTGGAATGTTTTCATCCAAAACCTTAATTTCTTTTCGACTGTAGAAAGAAAGACATGGACATCTTGGATGACATGGGGGTGAGTAAATTATCAGCAAAAGTTTTTTTAAAAGTGAACTACTCCTTTAAAATATAGGCAAGCTCGCTAGATTTGAGAGTCCTTGAGTCACGTGATGGGGAACTATGAGTGTAATGAGACACACCCTGACTGAGGCTTTTATAGGGCCGGATCGTCAAAGCTTCAGACGAGACGTCACCATGACGGCTCCGCAGGAATGTAAACCACACAATTGCAATGCAACACTGCCGACTCCAAAATCATTCATTTTTTGCATTACAATAAAAAGAATTTGGTATAAAACGTGTTTAATTGTAACGAAAATGCAAGAAATCTTAAGGATGTATACATTAACAGCTTTTTTTTTTTGGCAATACAAATTGACATGTTCCTGACAGGACTGTGTTTGAAACATTCAGCGGGTGTGGTAGATGCTGCACCTGTGAGGGTGTGTCCTAATCCTCGAGTTGATGCACTCACACACACACACACACACGCCCGTCTGCCTCTGACGTCACACGGGTTCAGTGAAGCGTGTCAGAAGGAGCTGCAGGTGACAGGAAGAACAGGTGTGCTCAGGTGCGCTCTTACCTTTGCCATCTGAGCCTGGACGCCGCTGGTCTTCAGAGCGCTGACGGCTTTCTGAGCAGCAGCAGGGCTGTCAAAGTCCACAAAGCCATACCCTGAGAGACACACAACCACAACATGCTCTTAGATACGCCTTTAAAGAGACAGCACACACTTTCAACCTGGAAAACAAGGCGTACTAGGGTGAATCTATAGCGTAAAAAATGTAAAAACAAATCTGCAAAAATTATTATTGATTGATTAATTAATAAAAAAAAAATAAAAAAATACAATTTAACCTCCTAAAATGAATTGCTGTTTTGCTTTTTTCTGTCATTTCTATTTTTTTTAAATAATAAAAAAAAAATCTGCAAAAAATATTAATGATTGATTAATTAATAAAAAATTATACAATTTAACCTCCAAAAATAAATTGCTGTTTTGCTTTTTTCTGTCATTTCTATTATTCTCTGTGGTGATTCAAGTAAAGTAAAGTAAAGTAAAGTAAAGTTTTTAAATAAAAAAAAAATTAAAATCTGCAAAAATTATTAATGATTAATTAATAAATAAAAAATAATACAATTTAACCTCCAAAAATGAATTGCTGTTTTGCTTTTTTCTGTCATTTCTATTTTTTTTTTTAATGTAAAAAAAAAATCTGCAAAAATTATGAATGATTGATTAATTATTAAAAAATAATACAATTTAACCTCCAAAAATGACTTTCTGTTTTGCTTTTTTCTGTCATTTCTATTATTTTCTGTGGTGATTCCAGTAAAGTAAAGTAAAGTTTTTAAATAAAAATAAAATTTAAATCTGCAAAAATTATTAATGATTAATTCATTAATAAAAAATAATACAATTTAACCTCCAAAAATGAATTGCCGTTTTGCTTTTTCTGTCATTTCTATTATTCTCTGTGGTGATTCAAGTAAAGTAAAGTAAAGTAAAGTAAAAGTAAAAGTAAGGCGTACTAAGGTGAATCTATAGCGTAAAACTGTTAAAAAAATTTATATTATTGATTAATTAATAAAAAATATTCTCTGTGGTGATTCAAGTAAAGTAAAGTAAAGTAAAGTGAAGTGAAAGTAAGGCGTACTAGGGTGAATCTATAGTGTAAAACTGTTAAAAAAATTATATTATTAATTAATAAAAAATAATACAATTTAACCTCCAAAAATGAATTGCTGTTTTGCTTTTTCTGTCATTTCTATTATTCTCTGTGGTGATTCAAGTAAAGTAAAGTAAAATAAAGTAAAGTAAAGTAAAAGTAAATAAAATAAAACAAAATAATAAAAAGGTGACAGTATAAAGTCCAAGACCACTGTCCGAGTTCTAATCGATGGTTCTTATAGAAAGTTAGCGTTGTTATTCATGAAATTAGATGTTTTTCGCCTGCTCAATTAGCTATTCAACTTTAATCCCTAATAGTCATATCATCCAGAAAAACATACATCGATTAAGTGCACATGTAATCCATGTAAAATGTAATTTCACGAAACGTTTTGGGAAGGTGCAACTCTGCTACTAAAATTTTTTTTAGAGATTATGTAATTTACAGGAAAAGTGATGCAATTTACCAGACAATAAAGATGCAAGTCTCAAAAGATTTGAAATGACTTTTTTTTTTTTATGCACAAAACGCCAACAGACACAGGAGCTCTTGTGAGCGTGTGCAGAGCGTGGCTGAAAGCATCAGCGGTTGCATCTTATCTGAGAGTCAGTGTGTTGTGAGTGATCTATCACAGAGCCCAGAGTGAGAGAGCCGCTGCACTATCAGTGTTTGCTTCCCCTAATGAGAACAATTAAATGGACACGAGGAAGCCGATCCAAGATAAGTCCTTACGTTCAGCTCCTCCCTTCACACTCCTCTGCTTCAGCTCGTTGCTATATTTAATCTGCGAACAGGTCAAACCACAAACACAGCCAGCACAGAACATCCTGACTAATAGCTCAAATATATATATATGACGTACAGGACAAAGAAACACTCACTAAACGCAGCCACAGGTATGATCCATCTGCTACGGACAGCAACATCATTTCTTATCAGATCAAATTGTTTAGATGTAAGAGAAAACACAATGTGGTGTTTAGCAAAGCTGATTTAATCGGATTTAAACATCTTTTATGCTTTGAAATAGCATAAAAAAGTGTTTGTTTTTTTCATCAGATGAACATTTCAGCCAAATCTTTCACTGTAGTGAAGTAGATTCAAAATGTCTAAATGCAAGAAGTTAAATACATTTATAAATATAAACACATTTTATATATATCAATCTAACACAGAGAAATAAACAGCAATGTTTTCCTACTAAACATTTTAATATATGAAAAATGGAGAGCCTTCTTGAGGAATTTTAAGTGATGTTGCAAATGATTCATTGAATCAGGTTCAAACTGATTCACTGAAACTGACACTTTGAAGTGATTCATGGGGAAAAAAGTAAAGTAAAATAAAACAAAAAAGTGTATTAAAATAAAATAATAAATTATTAAATTTAATTTAAAAGTAAAGTAAAATAAAATAAAAAATTATAAAAAAATAATTCGCTAAATCAACTTTAACCCCTCGGTCATATCTTCCAAAAAAGCATAAATTGACACATTTATCATCTTCTTATAGATAACGAAGCCTATAAAGCCTACTGAATCATATTTGATGCATCTA